TATCCAGTTTATTGCCGAAAGACTTGAACAAGATCCTGTTTACGAAGACTTCCCTGATCCTGCGACATTAAGAGAGCAGCGGCGAAAGAAGAAAATTATTATTAAGGGAGCGAGCAAGTTCAACGAGAAGCCTAAGGCAGGTCTGGGGTATCTGGAAGCACAGGGCATCATTAAGGACGCCACAGATCCTGTTGCTGTTGCTAAGTTTCTTAAAGGCACTTCACGGGTCAACAAGAAGGTCCTTGGCGACTTCATATCTAAGAGAGGCAACGAAGAAATTCTTGGAGCTTTCTTGGACCTTTTCGACTTCTCCGGTAAACGAGTTGACGAGGCACTAAGACAATTCTTAGAGTCATTCCGACTCCCGGGAGAGGCGCCCTTGATTGCTACAATCGTGGAAGCTTTCTCTGAGAAATTTTGCTCCCACGATACTACTGGCGAAGTCGCAGATAAGGATGCAGTGTATATCTTGACGTATGCCATCATCCTGTTGAATACTGATCAGCATAACCCCAACTTGGACGCCAAGAAACGCATGACACTGGAGGATTTTGCAAAAAACCTCAGGGGAACTAACAACGGCCAAAACTTTGCGCCAGAGTATCTGGAGACTATCTACCAGTCAATTAAGTCCAACGAAATCATCCTACCCGATGAACACGATAACAAGCATGCCTTTGACTATGCATGGAGAGAACTGCTTCTCAAGACAGAGTCAGCAGGTAGCCTTGTAATATGCGATACAAACATTTATGATGCTGATATGTTTGCAACGACCTGGAAACCCATCGTTTCCACGCTGTCCTATGTATTCATGTCCGCCACAGATGATGCTGTTTTCGCTCGAATTGTCACCGGGTTCGATGAGTGCGCACGCATTGCCACCAAGTATCAGAACTCGGAAGCTCTTGATCAGATTGTTTATTGTCTAAGCCACATGTCGACTTTGGCAACGGAAACACAGTTCAACACTTCCCTGAATACTGAAGTTCAGGCAGGGGATGGTAGCGTCATGGTGAGCGAACTCGCTGTTAAGCTCGGTAGGGATTTCAGAGCCCAGCTTGCGACTCTGGTGTTGTTCCGTGTCGTTACTGGAAGTGAAGACCTTATACACAGGAGTTGGAAATATGTGAGTAATCGAGTCTTTTCAGTTGGATGGTTGCTTACATTTATAGATGATTCGCATATGGCTCAATCTATTTACCAACTCGCTCATTTCACCATTTTCCCCAAGCAATCTGCCAGGCTTACCGCTGCCCCCCATTCCACTGCAAACGCCATCACAAGTCATCGATCGAGTAGCGAGGAATGCGGACACTGGTTTCTTCTCGGCCTTCACATCGTACATTTCTAGTTACGCTGCCGACGACCCCCCTGAGCCATCAGATGAGGAGCTTGAAAGCACACTTTGTACCATCGATTGTATCAAGTCATGCAAGATGAGTGCGGTGTTTGAAAACATTGCGTAAGTTGTACGGTTGCACAGCCAGTATCAAACTAACTACTTGAAAGCAACCTGAACCCATCCGTCGCTAAAGTCATCGTCGAAACACTTGTTGATCAACTCCCCGAGGATTCTAACACGACCGTAATCAGTGTCAAGCATGAAAGCTTGCCTACGTCTCCCACGAATGGTCACGTTCGACCGCCGGGGCATATGGAGTACGATCCAAGCGTTGCATACATTCTGGAGTTTTGTACACTCTTGGCATCGCGGGATGCAGAATCCATCGAGAGCATGGGCAAGGTTGTCTTCGACACGCTACAAGGTGTTCTCCGCGATCCGGCCCGATACCATGCCATCACAGTTTCGCGGGCGTCTTTCTACGCTCTCAAGCTGCTCAATATCAGCTACGTAAGTTTTCTAGCAAACGCTGTGAAACTTGAAGCTAATAATATAAGGATCATGACTTCGTCAACGTTCCATTCCTGCTTCACACGATCTCGACTTTGCCACAGGAAGCTTTGGGGAAGAACTCGGATCTTGTGTTGCAGGGCCTTTCGCTTTGCATCGAGGAGTCTGGCCCGTTGAAACGAGAAATGATGACATCCCCTGACTTTTGGGCAATACTGCGAGCCTTGGCCCAACGTCCTGAATCAGCGGCACTTGTGTTCGAAGTTTTGGAGAAGGGAACTGCCGGAACCCCTCCAGCTATTATGGCGGACAACTACGAGGCAGCAATATCCCTTCTTAACGACTTTGCGTCTGCTGCCACCCCTCGGCAACCTAATATGCAGACCCGAAGCCCGAGACCCCAGAGGCCAACCCCCTCCAAGCAAGACAAAAAACGGTAAGTTTTTACAAACTCCAAGCCTTGAACACAACGCTGATGTGATCCCACAGCAATGCGGAAGCAGTTAGCCGAGGCTCCAAGGCTGTCAACATGCTTTATAACATGACGGATCGAATCCCCCATCTCATGCAACAGTCTCAGCTTGAGAGCAGTGAAGGTGGGCCATCCTCCAAACACTATTCTCTTAATTGCCATGCTAACAAATCCACAGCTTGGTCTGCATATTGGCTGCCAATTTTCCAGGCTTTAACCACGCAGTGCGCAAATCCTTGCAGAGATGTCCGACAACTTGCCTTCTCCGCTCTTCAACGATCTCTTCTGTCCCCGGAGTTGACCTGCAGTGACCCTAAAGAGTGGACTGCTATTTTTGGCAAGGTTCTTTTTCCATTGATCATTCAGCTGCTCAAACCTGAGGTCTTTCTGTCCGATCGAGACGGAATGAGCGAGATGAGAGTCCAGTCTGCCTCTCTTCTTTGTAAAGTATTTCTTCAGTACATGGTGCTCCTCTCAGAGTGGGACGGAATGCTGGATCTCTGGATCAAGATCATTGAGATCATGGATCGTCTTATGAACAGTGGCCAAGGCGATAGTCTTGTAAGTTAACCTGCCCAGCTTTGCAATGATACAGGCACTGACAAACAGCAGGAGGAGGCTGTTCGTGAGAACCTCAAGAATGTGCTGCTATTTATGGCCAGCAGTAGATATCTTGTGTCACCCCACATAGATCCGTCAAAGGAGGAACTTTGGTCAGAAACTTGGAAGCGCATAGATCGATTCTTGCCTGAACTCCGTGGCGAACTCGCGCTTGATGAGTCCCCAAACGAGAACAAGACAGACGATCAGCCTACTGAAGTGTCGGCACAGCCTCCGGAGAAGGAAAAAGAGACTGAGGAGAAGACTGAGAATACAGAGGACCAGGTTACTGAAGAACCAGTCACGAAAGAAAAGGCTGATGAAGAATAAATCTTGCTTCGCCTGGAGGAGACTGGGAAAAGTCGGAGTCATCAAGATTATGTCACCAATATATCTGCGCATCGGCGTCTGGCTGGGATCTACTATGCACTTTAGATGTTTACTCGACAGAGGGCTTTGTACAAAATGCCAAATAGAACGCCTCTATCACCGCTCCAAGAGCTAGATTGACAGATGTTGGGTTGGGATAAATAGGGGGCTTGGACGCTTGGACGCTTGAACTGGGATTCGTCCACCAGTGTCAAACAATTATTATATAAATCCTCGCTTTAATCTTACAAGCATATCCCAAAAGCTCAATATAGGTTGATAGCCATGACTTGAAAGGAGGCATTATTGTAGTATATTTATGGGAGCTAATATACTAACGTATTTCCCCACCACCCCATACACCCCTAGAATCTGCATACTTTTCCTACTAAAACCTATTGCTTATACTTATAAAATTAAAATACTAATAAAATAGCTATTTAAATATAAAGAGAAGTTTTAAGATATTAAAAAGTTATATTTTTTTATTATAAAGTAAAATATTATATATATATATTATTAATTAAATTATAAATATTTAAATATATATATTTTATAAGCTATTTAATTTAAAATATTAATTTAAAATATTTTTAATATAATATTTAAATTATAAAATATATATAAAATAAAGTTTTTTTAAAAATTTAATAATTAATAAAAATATTATAAATTTAATAAAATTTAATAATTAAAATTTATTAAAATATATTTTATAAATATTAAATAAATTATATATAATAAAATATATATATAATAAAATAACTTATAAATTATAAATTATATTTATAATAATAAAAAATTAATATAAAGTTTAAATAACTTAAAAAATTAAAATTAAAACTTTTTTAAGAAAATATTTAAATTTATAATTTTAAATTTTTATAAAAAGATAAATAAAGCTTTTAATAAACTTTTTTAAATTTTTATATATTATATATATTATATATTAAATTATAATTATTTTTATAAATATTTAATATTATTTTTTAAAAATTTTAAAATTTATATAAAACTTTATAATTACTTATTATATTAAATAAAAATATTAATAATTTTTTTTTATTAATTTTTATATAATATAAATCTTAAATAATATATTAATAATTTTAAAAGAATTTATTTTATTTTATAAATATTTAAAAATAATAATTTTTATTATTATTTTAAACTTTTTTTTAAAGTTAATATTTATAATATTAATAAAACTTTATATTTTAATAATATAATTAAAAAAAAGTTTAATATATATAATTTAAATCTTAAATAGCTTATATTATAAAAATCTAAGTTATAGAATTTTTTCTTATATTCTTAATATTTTATTATAAAAGCTAGATTTTAGTAAGAAAAGTATGCAGACTCTAGGGGTATATGGGGTGGTAGGGAAATACGTTAGTAGTTAACATGTTGTTTTGGCTCATAGCCTTTTTGTGGACCAGCAACACCTCCGGCCTTAGTCATATGTTCTGGCTGGCACTGTGCACCTAGGCAGGCTCGAAGCTCCATTCTGAAGACAAAATCACCAAGACGCCCCCTTTCAAACAGCCTCAATCTTAGATGTGCCTTAGGCATGTGTTTATGAGGCAGCATCATCTTTCGGTCTGACACATACATTCTCGTCTTTGGAGACTGTCAAGAATATAAGGCGAGAGTTGTTTTCATCTTTGTCTCTCATTGTATTTGTGCAACGGCCCCACCTAAATGCTCAAACGCTCTCTGCGTCTTGCGATGAAGAGAAACCTTGACTCATTTCTCAAGGAACACTATTCGTTGACTTCCAACTCAGTCACGGCCCCAATAACGCCCTCTTCCAAAGCTCCTGGGCCGCCTGCTAAGGTTCCCAAGTCCAACATGGTAACCACCACCATTCAACTCACCACCAAGGAGCAGCAGCTCCGCCATCTGCTTCTCGATGTCGCCAAAGCCATAGACGAGTCCGGAAAAGCTCCAGAGCCTATTGCTCTTCGCTGGGCCGGTGGATGGGTACGCGACAAGCTACTCAATATCCAGAGCCATGACATCGACGTGGCCATCAACGCCATGACTGGCGTCCCCTTTGCTCAAGCTATGTGCGATTATTGTGAACGGCCAGAGGCTATGTCCAAGCACAATATCGGCCCTGCAGATATTGGAAGCCTTCACAACGTTGCACGCAATCCTGAAAAATCTAAGCACCTAGAAACGGCCATGGTCAAGATGTTTGGTCTGGATCTCGATTTCGTCAACCTCAGGAAGGAGACCTATACTGAGGACAGCCGAAACCCTCAAATGGAATTCGGTACGGCTGAAGAGGACGCACGCCGCCGCGATGCGACCGTCAACGCACTCTTCTACAACTTACACGACGACAGCGTTGAGGATTTTACGGGAGGACTTGCAGATATGGAAGCTAAAATAATCAGAACCCCTTTGGAGCCCTTCCAAACCTTCATGGACGACCCTTTGAGAGTTTTGAGACTTGTTCGTTTCGCCAGCCGGCTCCAATTCACAATTGACGCCAACACGCGCAAATTCATGGCAGATCCAAAAGTCCTTGAGGCATTACGTGCTAAGATTAGTCGAGAGCGAGTTGGCGTAGAGCTAGAGAAAATGCTCAAAGGTTGTTGCGACATCTTGACTTGAATGACATGTACTAACTTCTAGTCAGGAGCTCACCCTTTCGAAGCACTTGAACTCATCCATGACCTACAACTCTTCCATGCAATCTTTACCGATCCAACCCAGGAGAATCTCCCAGTTCCCGACATATCGCGGTGGCCTGTTGCTTATACTTGTCTTGACGATCTTCTCAAGGATCGAGACTCGACTTCCATTGCTGGCCGACTTATTAGTTCCACGGACGCCTCCTACTCCGCTTGGAACCTTGCCGCGCTCTCTCCGTGGATGACAGTTGAAGAACCTCCAAATCCTCGGAGGAAAGCAAATGCTCTCCCTCTTGTGGCCATTGTCTCGCGGGAAGGCTTCAAGGCCCCAAATCGTTTGTCGAGCATTGTTGCTGCTTCACATCGCAATCGTGAGGAGGTTTTGAAGTTGAAAAATGCTGTCTGCAATGGAGAGTCGTACATTCACGAACGAGATCGTTTCGGCATGGCAATCAGGAAATGGGACACGCCCGCCGGTACCTGGAGACTGCAGGTTTTGAATGCACTACTCGTCGAGGCCTTGGAAACCCTCACGGAATGGCGTCACGAAAAGTCAGCAGGTAAGCATCATTTCTCCTTCTCATGCACACCTGAATAACTGGTTTCAAGAACAAAGTAGTTTCCTAGCAGGTTGGAAAAGCTTCCTTGACCACCTCGCTAAGTTAGATGTTTATGAAGTTACGACACTCGAAAAGCTCCTTGATGGCGGAAAACTTGCCAAAGCACTCGGTGGTATCAAACCGGGGAAATGGACAGGTCCGGCTCTAGAAGTCTGTGTTGCATGGCAACTTCGCAATCCCGATGAAACAGACCCCACAGGTGCGATAGAAGAAGTACAGCGGCGAAGAGAAGAGTTGGGGATACCGTGAGTAAGGAGCTAGTATGATTCCCAAGGCGGAGACTCTGCATATATACCAACCTGGGTATGCATTAGCTATATTATTTGCCGGTGAAGTGGAGGTCTGAGCCAAGCTGCCTTGACGGTCATGGTGAGTGCACTATCTGTATGGCACATCAAGACGCTCCCGCTATTTGCACATTTTTAGCATGCGATAGATATAGATAGCAACTAAGTCACCCCTCTCATAGAGAAGCCGAATGAGGGCAATGATAAAGAATTTGACAAAGTGAATACTAAGGTTGAGAAGATTGTTTGACGATGATGAGCGAGCAGTCAGTTTCTCTACAGTGCGATTGGCTGTGTTTCAACACTGTATGTGGACCCAATTAACCTACCTCAGGCAGGCATCTTGTCTTAAGATCCCGTCGTTCACTCTTCATTCTTCTTACTCACCAATGCTCAATCAACGATAAGGAGTTTTTATTACTCACTTATCCTCTATGAAATGTCAATCACTGACTCTAATACCGTGATTGGTGCGGTAGAAGGGCTCCTTGGTCCTTCAAATACAGCGCTGCTGCATGAAATCTCGGGTAAGTACTTGGCTCAACGTACGCTTCACATAGCATCGCATTGACTAGTTCCCAAACTTTCAGGTAAACCAGAACATTTTCGTGCAGAGCCTGAAGGTGTAATATCTTCCTTGCTTGAATCCAATGATGCGGTGCGTTTTCCTATACGCCTCTGACGCTGTCTGACTTGGAAAGATGGCGACGAGCTAACGATGGTGACTCCAGGACCTTCGCCAATCTGTTCTCATTGTAGTTGACCAAGCCTTATCCTCGGAAGACAAGAACCTGGACCAAGGCCAATTGGAGAGGCTTACGGCAGCCATCAGTGAGAAAGCATTAAGATTGAAGAGTGTTGAAGGTACAGCGACGTGCATAAATCTATTACTTCTGTGGGTTTACTAACAGCACAAAGAACATTCGGAGCTGCTGACGGAAGCAGCCGTTGCCAGCCTCAGCATCTTGTGCTCGAAGCATCACTTTGTTCTGGATCAGGATACTCTAGTGAAGCTCACAGCTGTTACAGATCCTCAGGATCCATGGACAACTGCGGAAGCTGCAACGACAGCATCGAAGCTTTTGTCTGAACAACTTGAGGGCAAAAGTCTGATCGAGTTTATCATCAACACGGTGCTACAGAAGTCTTTGAAGCCATTGTTTATGAAATCGTCCTCGCGAATCACAGCTTCAGGACGACCCTCACAGTATACCATTATAGACGATCGGTCCCGACCTGTGATTGAAGTGCTACCATGGAGAACTCAGGCCCCATGGGCAGAGGCTACAATACAATGGGCAGTGAACATGTCTACAGTAAGGTCTTGTCGACTGAAATGTGATTGGTTGCGCTGACACTTGCTGGTAGACGCCACTCATTCAACAGCACTGGCCGCTTTTCTTGCCAGTCCTGTTGGCGCTGGTGGAGAACGAGTCTACCAAGACCAAGGCCAGAGGTTTACGGACCGCAAGGGAATTCATGACCAAATGTTCAGCTCAAGTATTGCAAAATACAGGAATAGGCCGTGTATTTGCAGATGTCACATTCCCGCTCCTGCTTCATCTCCCTAGCGTCACACCAGAGGATGAATCTACAACTATACTCGTACCGGCTTATGATGTGCTTATCAAGCTGGCTGAGTCCACTGGGAATACTAACAGCATTGAGCGTCGCCGATTATTTGACAGGATCCTCAGAGACGGAGTATTCGCAGGCTATTTTCATGCTTCTCAGCACACTCGCATTGTCCAAGTTCTGTTGCAGAAGGCGACAGTAGTAATCAATGGTCTGGGTATCTATACAATCAAACATCTAACTGTGAGTAACCACCTACTATCGAAAAACGCCTTGAGCTTTCGTTAATACATCTGTGCCAGCCTCTTCTCTCAATGGCGTCATCAGTCATGACAGATCCATTTGCAGTCTCGTATCCTCCGACCCTGATAGCAGCAACGCAAACACTGAACGCCATCATTACTAATGCATGGCCTCGTATCCGAGAAGTTGAGCATATGGAGAACGTCATCCAAATTTTGTCATTATGCTGGTTGAACGTCTCTGAGGAGATTGAGCATGAAATACCTCAGACTTCAGAAGAAATCCACACCTTATCACGAGAGTTGGTACACACAGCTCGGATTCTACAGGTACTCTGGGCTCAGGACGCCTCTGTATGTCCCGCGAAGCTGAGTGAAGCCTTGAAGCAAGAACCGCGACTATCCGATCTTTTCCCCGAAACTCTGGCTTGAAGGCTGGGCGGCCGTTGCTTAAACTCAGTCTAGGGGTTGTTGCTTGAAGAAAGACTTCCCACGCAGCCATTTCCTATAGGCTTTGTATCGTTTCTTCGGACCATCTTCCTCAGTCACTGTTAGAGGGTTTTCTCCCACCTTGAGCAGCTCGGCGTAGACATCGATCTCTTCTTCAGTTCCTTTGACCATTAAACCTTCATCTTGCCAGTCACCGCTTACATACTCCTGATACTCGGACGCATCTACGTCCACAGGCGTGTCGCTTGAGATGACGAGAGGAAGGTTTTGAGGATGGCGGATGTATCGCTCATAATCTTCGGATTCCTGCTCGGCAACGGATGGATTGAGAGAGTCATGGACGGCTTTGGTGAAAGTCCATTGTGCAGCCTTAGATTTCTCCAGAGCTGTTGGCTTCGTCTTGGGGCTATGTTCGGATGTCTGCAATGACTGATTCGTATCCAGTCGCAGAGAGTTGGCGAGTGTACCCTTGTCTTGAACAGGTTGCAGCCAACGCTGGAGCGAGATACCTTTCGCCGGTGACCGGTCCGAGATTGAGTCTGATGCCCCATTCGTTCCCGCAGCCTGTCCTCGCGAACTTGGTACATTTACGTGTGGATGAGCCTCTTTCTTCGACTTCTTTTTGTCACCATGATCAACCTCATTATCGGTTCGAACTCGGAAAGGGCTGAGGTCGTAGCGGCCATCCTGGGTAGATTTGAGGGGAATGTACTTGATTGTCGAGTTCATCTTATAGGCGAACATTTTGGGAAAAGAAGAGAGAGTCGATGGCCTGTAATACTCAAGCCAATAGTCATCAAAGAATTCAACCGGATGAGCACGGGCAATGTCTTTGCTTGGCACGTATGGTGGAATTGTTCGTTTCTGCAAGTGAGCCGGAACATACCAATTGATGTAGTCGTGCTTCAACCTGGCGGACCAATCTCGTGGATCGGCATGATGGAGGTAGTAATCAGTTGCCAAGTCCCACAGCATAGGTTGGCCTTGAGTGAATATGTAATTACCGAGGAACAAGTTATAGGCCTCCTGACGTTGACTGTCTAGGAAAGAGTTGTTGTAGTATCGCTTGAAGCTCTCGATCATATCTCTTGAATGACTCGTCCATTGGTTGATTTTGCGGTAAGTTTCCATGGTATTGACCAGTTGTGAGCCGCCGTACTGAACAGCAATGGTATCACCATGGTCATGCCACATGTGAGTGAACAAATTGACAGCATCCGTGTCGTAATCGACTGACGTATCCTCGAGAATGCCAAGGGCATGTAGCTGGTGCCCTAGGGCTCTCTTGCCAATGACAAACTGTGCAGCATTGGTACGGTCCAAGCAGTCGATGCAGTTTGTTCTGGCCACTCCATTCTGTGCTGTCATGGGGCTCGTGAGACCGTCTCCGTTTTGGAAGAAGCCTGTCGTAGCGAGAACCGACTCTGCGATAAGCTCGAGGTTTCCAATAACATCCCCACCACGGACTTTTGATGCGCGACTCATGTCCCATGCTTTGTGAATGATCTTCTTATCCTTAGGCAGGAATTGGTTGAGATAGTTGATGGCATGCGTATACTCCTCCAGCAGCTTTGATTCACGAGGCGTTCGCTCCTTAGACTTGATCAGGTTAACGACATAGATTGGCGCACCGTAGCGCTCGAACAGATTATCGAAGTGCAGAGCGGCGGCACCATAGAACGGATCAACCAAATTAAGCTCAATCGGGGGTTTGGGTGTGACACCGGTGCTGTCCTGTGTCCAGTAAAGCGGAATACTCCCTCTATGTTGGACATAGGAGGTGTACTGCGGGCTACAGTATAGTTGAGGACCAGGTGCGTGAAACGACGTGGTCAGTGACTCGGCTACGATTTGTTCCGTCTCGACATCGTTGGCAACATAACCCTGGCAGTGTCAGTGGGCGAGCATCGAGGGCCAGATGCAACAGAGGGAAAGCAACAACCACCTACAAGATCGTTGGCTCCGCGTTTCAAGAACCGGGCACCGGCAAAGTAGCGCGAGCGTCTTGCGATGACGGTGATATGTGCAGTACGGCCGTAAATTGATAGAGCTGTTGAACGTCAGTACGGAGCATGGAAGTTGGAGTCCCAGTCGTATTTGCCGAACTCACCCGCTTGATCAATGTACCCATGAATAATTGGACGACACCAGTCATAGGGGTCCCGAAGAGCAGTAACGGCAGGTTGTAGTAGATAGTCGTTCCAGACAAACATAGAGTTGAAATCATCGTCGTCTGGTGGCAGCATTCCCTTGGCGAGAGCATCGCGCTCCCGGATGACGTTATGTTGTAAGGTACGGGTAACATCGTAGGAATAGCTGTAATAGAAAGAACGAGTCAAGTCGAGGTTGTTCAAGATACCGAGGAATCGTTGCTCCTCGGTGTTGCGGGCGTCTGGCTTGAACTTGGCGGGAGTTAGGGGAACAAGCTCAGTACCCTCAATCTGGTATATGTAGTGGCCTCCGACCATAGCGACAGTGCTCTTTTTGGTGATGAGAAGCATATAGTAGGGGCCGGTGAACTTGATAAAGCCAAGGAGGCCCCATGTGGTGCAACGAAGCTTGATGCCGCCGGTACCTCGGTTCCCGTCATCTATTGTATCGAGCAGCTGGTTCATCTCTTTCAAACTATAAACAATCTTGTCGTCTGTCACGTTGAGCTCAGCACCCTCGGTGGTGCGGTCGATCTTGAGGATTCGATAACGCTTTTCACTGACATCGACACCGACGATGTAATAACGACTGGCTGTTTCGTAGAGACTGAACTTATGCATCTTGTAAATCAGGCGGTCAGGGACACGGTCATCGAAGGTATCTGGGAACGCGCGTGTGGACGGGTCAGGACTCGTTGTTCGCATGAATGGCTTCGCTACAGCGGGCTCGTCGTCGTTGTCGTCTTCCCCGATCGTGGGACCGCCAGCGGCTTCTGAAGATAAGGGACTTCCCGCGCCATTGTTCTGTAGCGAGGGAAAAACAGGTGCATCGCCGTTGGCGTCGTTGGTGGTTGGAAGGGCGTCTATTTCGGGCCCTGAGCTGAGCGCGTCTGGAACACCATACTCAGACATTCTGACGAGTGCGTGTCATGTCCTCTGGCGGGCGAATCGCTAGAGAAGATGGATCTTTGAACATATAAAATGATGAGTCGCATCGAGTCAATCGAGTGAGTGTGTTTGCCGTTGTCTAGACATAAAGAATGTTGTCTCGTACCGATTAATTAAAGAAGGAAGCCATCTGGACACGAAATGAGAGAACCAATTCCTACCTTGGATAGAGCTCAAGGACGGATCGATGGTCGGCGGTTTCCTCTTAGTCCCTTATCGTCGTGCAACCCAATGAAAATAAACCCCACATCACATCTCAGATGACGTTGTAGTCACATGCCTACGAATTACGGTCCGTCTTACAAACAGGCGAAATTGATGAACTTTGAACAGGGCTCTATTCTACCAACTCCAATTACCTGCACAGACGCGCTCTCAGTTTATCTTCCATTGCTGATTGGCAAGTCAGTCGTCATTCTTTAGTTCACCCATTTGAGGCTCCTTTGGTGGCCTGGATCTAGCGTGCCGTGCTCATGTCGGCTCATGAACTTGCCGATCTAGTAAACTAACAGCAAACTAACCCAGCACCTCTCCTCTTGCAGCTCTCGTGCCGGGGTAAAGCTAATGTTGCCTAGAGCCTCTTGGCTTAGGCGAGCTACTCCGATTCCCATCGTCGTTAGATCTGCCAAGCAGTCAGTTCAGTCTACCGTCTACAACACGCGACATTCCACATCCCTCATTGACCCATTATTTGCTATGTATCGATGCAACCCTGTCCAACTGTTGAAGTTCGCCATCTCTTGATATATCCCTTGCCAACAACATTGGCTCCGTATGCATCGAGCATAGGTATCTTTGCCAGCAACATCTTTGGCTCTTGTTGTCATCACATCTGCTATGTATGTCCTCATGCCTGGCCATTTGCCACCGTGGCTGCATAAGTCGTGTTACATCTGTCAGCTCTTTGCCGAGCTGAGCTACCAACGGCTGGTGTCTCGAGACATTCATCCAATTGCCTTCTATCAAGGACCACCACCACGCCTCGAATAGGTTCGTGTCTGCCAAAAAGCTACCTAGCAGCTTGATAACCTGGAGCCCCGGCAAATAGCTTCTTGAGGTGATGAGCGACATGGTCACGGTACCTTTGTCTAGCTTGCCTGTTAGCCATATAGTGTTACGACTACCACCACCTTTGACTTTTGTTTCCAATCAAGAGCCTTAGACCATTGCTAGAGGCTGGCTGATCCTACACTCCCTCGTCATCGTGGTCAAGCTACCTCTTTGATAGCGTCAACTTCCTGAAGTATTCCTCAACCACTCACCAAGAACCCTTTGTATTGTGACCATCACGCTGACGTCAATGACCGTGATGGTCTAAATCTAAGCCACGTCCCGGCTGCCTCCTTACGTAGCATTGGCTGTATCTCTACAACCGATGCGCCACTGCAAGCGTCAATCTACAACCGCTCTGGCCTAACCTTCCCATATCCATCCAATCCAATGTAACTGCCTACAAGCGGAAGAGAGGTAGGTATTCACCTTGCGGGGTAATTAGACCCTCCACCATTTGATACTTCCCAAGGCAGTATATAAACACCCCGTCATTGAACGATCTCGACTCGGCCTCTTCTAAGTCTTCTTTCTTATCAACTACCTAGAATTAAAGATACCCCAAGACATTTGAGCTCAAAACTTTCTTTCTCTCTTTCTCGCTACTCTCAAAGCTTTCCCCCTTCAAACCAAACAGAAAGTCCTTGAACAATGGAGCAACCCATCAACACCCAAGAGGGTACTACACAGCCCCTAAATGAAACGCCTGTTGTTGGCTCTCCCCCCCAGGATCGTAGAGCAAGCGATGCGGCACAAGACCGGAGAATGAGTGATGAATGGGGTACGTACAATAACTTCCCAGTAATTGTGTATTGGCAACTAACTAAGAAATGCATAGATGCTTCAAAGGTGCCCCCCAGTCGTTTCCAAAAACGCAAGGGATCCATCTATGCCACGCCCGGATCCCGCGATGGTCATGTCGACAGGAACTACCAGGACAAATACTGGTCCAAGATGACTGAGAAGAACTGGGGCAGCGGCAGCAAGTAAGCCTCGGGAGTAAGTGTTGGGTGATAAGGTAGCAGGAGTTTGGTTTCTTGATTGATTGCGGAGTTCACAACTTAAGATGGGAGATTAAATATGGAAAATAAGGGAATAGTTATCTTGGACAAACATGTTGCACGCCCTACTATGCAATAAACCTAAATCAGACATTCCACCTGGACCTGTCCATTATTCATCAATGCCATCGATCTCAATGGCATCGGGATTTGAAGTGACTGTTGTTGTAGCTGGCGTGCCTCCAACTGGGCCTGTACTGGCTGCCACGAATCCCTGCGGTGCTCTCGACTGCCTTTCCAGTGCCGCCATGGCATCCGTTATGTCGGCATCGTCCGCCCCTCCAGGACGACGTTGGCTGCGTGCAAGGGCTTGGGATGCAATGAAATTGACGTCCGTGTTGTATTGCGCCTGAACACTTCGCTTGATACGCAACATTTCTTTGAATGTGTCTTCGTTACCATGCTGCACTTCGAACTGCTCCCACTTCGTCCAGAAGTCAGGGTTTGTGCGAGGGTCACAGAACTGCGATGCATGGCCATAGATGGCACGAGCACGGTCAATCTCACCCAGCCTCTTCTCCATGTCCGCAAACTTGAGGCACATATCCTTAGCTTCGACATCAGGAAGAGCAGCGATGGCCCTCTCGTAAATTGGTCTGGTCGACGTCAGGCCGAAATTGGAGGCAGATTTGGTGATATAGAAGTTGAACATATCAGCCCGGTCTTCATCCGCGACTGCTCGTGTGGCCCGCTCGTAAATACGCATTGCATGCCGCGCCAGGCCACGTTCTTCTTCCAAGTTGCCATACATGAGGTAGATTGTCTTTGCGAATTTTGGGGGGCAATCTTCCACGGCTTGCTCAAATAGATCGCGAAGTCGTTCTATCCCGATCTTCCGATCAACGGCTTTGGTGAGATACAGGTTCCAAAGCTCAAAAGCAACGGGATAGCTGAACAGGTCTAAGCCGCGCTCATAGATTTTGAACGATTCCTCATAATACTTGTGCTCCTCGAGCAAATTGGCATAGTTGACAACAGTCTGAGGTGTGGCAATTCGGAGCTCAAAGATTCGTTCATAAACCTTTTTGGTCTCATCCAAAGTAGACACGCTTTCAACGAGATCGACATAAAAGCTCCAAAGTTTCCAACTCTTGTGGACTCTTTGTTGTGGTGATAAGGTCTCGTCGAAATAGTCCACAGTGGACCGCTTGGGTGCCTGAACTGCTTTGGCCATGATCCGGACGGCGTCGTCGAAGTTCTCATTTCGTAATTCCATTTCTGCCCATTCAATCCACATATCAGCAAGCTCTGCCACTGACTTGAAAGGTACCTTGATCGCCTTCTCCATAATGACTCGAGCGTTTCTTAGGTCACCTCCCCGTTCATAAAACTTGGCGTAATTGGCCCAGAGCTGATGAAATGCACCAACAGCGCGTTTCGGCTGTATTGCCGCAATCGCATCCGTGTACGTCTGAGCAACCTCCTTCTTATTGTCGCCCCAAAGGGCGACTCTTTTCTCCCATTCTGGAACGTTGTTTGGATTCTGTCGTAGCAGGACGTCGTTCAAGAGGAAGGGGCGTCTGTCCATGAGTTGTTCAAAGCGCATCATTCTGATATCCAGCTCAAAGTCCGCGTTTTCATCTTCTATTCCCTTCTCGGCCCTTGCAGACGCAACCTCCATGAGAGCACCGATGATAGACTCCTCAAATTCGGTGTAAGCCTCGAAGATCAGGGTGAAGTCTCTCACTGTCATGACCGTGGTGATCCCCTCTTCAAAGACATCCCGAGCCCGTTCGAAGCTGCCTCTCCGGATCCAATAAGTAGCGAGACCGGACCATAGCTTCCCTCTTTGATCGGCAAATCTGGCTATCCCACTTCGGATTATACGTTCGGCGTCAATGCCAGTTTCGTATCCCGTCTCGATTTCGGCGGCGTGCTCAACAATAAGATCTACCATTTCGCTCCAGAGTTCATAATGGCCTTTTCCATGCTTGCTGTTGAACCTGGCGTTGTTAAGAACATCTATAAATTTCAGCGCAGCCTCTGTGTAAAGCCCCGTTTGAGTAAGTAGTTCAATAAAATCCTCGGCATCCTCGGGATGCACTTGCATGTAGCGTCGCCAGATTTTCACAGCAGTTCCACCAGCGGCCGAGTTCGCGAATGGACGATAGAACGCCCAGATACGATTGTGCTGGGATATGGGAAGAGCTCTTAGAGCTCGGTCGAATGTTCGTCGAGTGAGAGTAATAAGCGGTTGCTTGGTCAGGAATTTGAGGTACATTTCCCATATCCGTGGCATCTTATGTAGTAAGTTAAGGGCCTTTTCGAAAAGGGCGTTGACTTTGCGATATTCTGCGGCGAATAATGCTGGATTCAGCTTGGCAACGTGCTTGACTCGAAACGAGAGATACTAGATAATGTTAGACTTGAGCATTAAAGAAGGGATGCTATTCCGTGGGTTGTATCGTACCAGTTTCCATAATTTGTATGAACGCGGCAATTGAGCACAAGCCCGCTCCATCACGTATGTCTGCTCAAGTATGGTACCGTGATGTGTTTTAAACTCAATATATGCCAGCCAGGGCTTCACACTACCAGGGTCGCGAAGGACATCTTGTTCGTAAACGGAATCCTCGTTGGACTAATAGAGTTCGAGGTCAGTATGGCATCCATACGTGATGCGCATTGTGTTTGTGTACTTACTACGAGATGCAGTTCCGGCTGTCTGCGTGCCCCGTTTAGAGCGCGATCGATCGGAGCCATAGTGATTATGGGGTTCTAGATCGCCAAGTAAATGACTGAAGGGATTTCGCGAAGGTGGCGGTTGAGTCGAATCAATGTGAACCGTACATCGTCGAGGAAGCTGGAAATGTCAAAGGTCGTCACTCCGAAAGCCACAATATCCCCCGTATGGGCCGAAGTCTGGCCAAAGGTGCCAGTCTAACACCCCCGAATGCTGCTGACTCCTTGTGCGCTTCGACCGAAGATAACCAGGGGACTCCTGGGTTGCTCGATGTTCGGAAGATGAGAACGCGAGGTTGGTGTATTTTTCTGAAGCCCGCGACGCCTGGGCCCTCACAGTTCAGAAACGATCCACTAAACTGTTAAATAGTGGGGCGTCCCTCCTTGCTGCTTACGTTATGGCATTGATAGCTGCCCAGCAACTCTGACTGAACAAATGTCTAGGGAGAGCTTTCCATGCGATTAGCGCCTTGGCCCTGTGACGACGAGAGCCCAGCCCAGATACTCCGTACCTTACCTTAAGACAGCCTGAAGCGAGACAGCTTCAAACTCTAGCCACCACTTCCATACAAGCAACACCAAGCCTGCCCGTATCATCAAATATTGCCTATCGAAATGTCGGGAGCTAATGTAGGTCTAAGCTTTCCCTTTCCTTAGACGAGTTGTGAGAAATGTTGATGAGGTTGACCTAGGATCGCGAGGCCGTCTTCCCAACCCGGCAATCGCTGGGCATCATGAAGGCAAAGCTCAAAGGAGCAGAGACGGGCCATAGTTTATTGAAGAGAAAGAGTGAAGCTTTGACAAAGTATGTGTATCGCCACAGCTCTGCCCACCTATTGTTGCAGCCGGCTAACCCATGAATGTAGACGATTTCGAGGTTCATATCCCCCAGCAGGCCCTTGATGCAAACCAACCACTTCTCCAGCGTACTGATACCCGATGATACAGAGATTACAAGGCGAATCGATGAGGCCAAGCGAAAAATGGGACGAGTAATGCAGATTGCAGCTTTCTCACTGGCAGAAGTGACATATGCCGTTGGTGGTGACATTGGCTACCAAGTGCAGGAATCCGCCAAGTCTGCTCGATTCCGCGTCCGTACGAAACAAGACAACGTATCCGGTGTTCTTCTTCCGGCTTTCGAAAGCTACCTTACCGAAGGCAACAATGACTTCGGTCTGACGGGCTTAGGCAAGGGAGGACAGCAGGTTCAGCGATGCAGGGAAACATATGCCCGTGCCGTTGAGGCGCTGGTTGAGCTGGCTAGCCTACAGACCGCGTTTGTCATCCTCGACGAGGTCATCAAAGTGGTCAATCGGCGTGGTAAGTCGCCCAAGCTGTTGAGATTCGCTGTGATACTGATCACCATCCCAGTCAACGCGATTGAGCATGTCATCATTCCCAGGACCGAGAACACTATCAAATACATCAACTCTGAGCTTGACGAGCTCGATCGTGAGGAGTTCTACAGACTGAAGAAGGCAGGCTCTGACATTACACCATTCATGGCAATTCGTCTGACAAATGATAGGTTGCGAACAAGAAACAGCGAGACACTGCTGCAGCAGATGCCGAGATGAAGGCAAGGCGTGAGGCGGAAGCCTCCGCGCAGGGCGGAGACAAGTCCCAGAAAGACAATTCGACACCTACAGATGTTCTAGGCGCCGGCGACGACGAAGACGTAATTTTTTGAAAGGACAGGAACCGTGTTTAAGGTTTGCGACAAACAGGTGGTCATATTACAATACTGTAGTGCGGGAATAGCTCGATGCGTGTTGTGTTTATCATTAAATAAGTATCCATCAGCTAACACCATTGCCTTCCTAATTAACAAAGATGGACTTCTTTATCGATACTAGCATTCAGTTTCACTGTCGCTGGTATGTGACTTTGATGGGTTTGTCTCCCAAGTGTAACCCAGCTGTGTTTTCCTTTGCGGTTATGGCACCCTGTTCCGCCTCGTACTCAACAAAAGCGATACCACGACGACCAGGTACCAGCCTGACCTCGCGAAACCCGTCAAATCGGCCGAAGACACTGGTCAGAGCCTCAATGTCATAATCTTCGGGGAAATTCTGGACGAATAGAATCTTGTTGGGGGGGAGGAACTCGTCAAGCACACTGCCGGATGCTGCAGCGCTGGTGGACTTGAGGCCTGATGATTTCGCGGCCTTTGCTGGCCGGTTGTCGTTGACTGAGCCAGACCCTCGCTTGTTGATTTGTCTCTGCTCTTCCGCAGACTCAAGGGCCTTGCGTTTATCTGTATGTCCCGTCATAATTAGCAACGGAATAAAATGAGAAGCTGAATGGTCTTACCTTTCTCGGCCTGTCGATGGCGCTTATGTTGCTCGAGCTCTTCTTGGTTGCCGTTCAGTTCGATCGTTTTGTCGCTCTGTGTTCGCGCGAAAGCAAGTTTCATGGGCTTGCCGAAAAGCTCAAAACCGTCGATTTCGTTGATAGCATCTTGCGCACTATCTGGCTTATCAAATACGACGAATGCTTGCCCTTTGGCACGCAGATTCTTCTTCGCTACGATATCAATGACATTGCCGAACTCTGCGAATATTGTTCCCAAAGCATCAACCAATGCATCAAGCTTGACGCGCTCTTCGAGATTTTGAACGTAAACACTAAATAATGTCAGCAGATATCCTTCACGTGGTGTCGGGTGTGCAATGACACGCACGTGGAGATGGGTGAGGTGGAAGCCATGATGAAGGTATGCATGCAGACGAAGAGAAGGACAAGGTTAAGCCAAGTGCGAAGAGGCTCTTGCATTATATAGTGGGACGGTGGTGTAAAGGCAGGGGTAGGGGTGTCAAACCGCTGGGTGCTAATTAGCAGGGCATTTTAATTGAAGGAGCTGCTCTTCCTAAAATAGAAGAGTTACATAATATTTACCTCTCTTTTAGAAATTAATTAAGCTATACTAAAAAGGCCTTAATTAATTAATTTAATTAATTAATTAATAATTTAATAATTAATAATCTAAAAGTTAGATTTTAAAGAAAATAATTATAATTATAAAAAGATTTATTAATTAATATAATAAATTATTATTTAAATAAAAAACTTTTAATTAAAATATAATTAATAATAAATATAAAAACTTATTTTTTTAAGAAATTTAATAATTAAGATTTTTTTAAATAATTTTATATTATAAAATTATTTATTAAAAAGATTTATAAATTTAAAAAAAATTATAAATTTAAAATATTATATAAATAAATAAAATTAAAAATTAAAAGCTAAAAAGGCTTAAATTTAATAATTATTTTATAAAAAAAGAAAATAAGCTTTAATTATATTTTTTAAATATTATTTTTATAATATTTTAATTAAAATATTTAATAGTTTTATATATTAAGTTAATAATAAAAGATTAAAAGGCTTATAAAATATTAATAATAGTTTATAAAAGTAATTTTAATTAATATAATAAATAAATAAATAATATTTAAAATATATTTAATTTAATAATTAAAAAGATTAATTTATATTATATTAAAATATATTTATTTATTATTATAATCCTTATAGCTATATTTTATAAAGCTTATAAGTTTTCCTTAATTAGCTAATAACTTATACTTTTTCTTTATTTCTATTATAAGTTATTTAAAAAGACTTATATTTAAACTTATAATTTATATATAAGTATTAACTTATTATTATAAGTTAAAATAAATATATAAATTATATTTATTAGCACTTTTATAAAACTTAATTTACTAGCTATTAATATAACTTCTTTATATTAATTAAGCTTAATATATATTAAAAGTATTATTAAGAGATATAATACTTTAATAATATTTAATATATACTTTATATTATTTATTAATAATAAACTTAATATAGCTTAGTTTAATATAATTAGACTTAATTATTATGTATTAATAGCTCTTATTTAAACTATATTATATAAATACTAAATAATATAAATATAATATTTACTAATATTAACCTTATTTAGTAATAAAATATAACTACTAACCCTTAAGGGCAGTAAGTTATAATACCTACTTATCTTATACTTATCTTATTAATAGTAGCTAATAAATTATTAATTAATTAGGAAATAAATAATATAAATACTTATCTTAAAGCTTTACTAACTTAAAGGTTAAATAACTTTATAAGAAGCTTAGGAATATTATTAATAAAATAAATAAGATATATTAGATATTAGATAATTTCTTTACTATATAATAATAATAAAATTAAAGCATTATAAATACTTAATAAGAAACATATAATATAGCCTTAGTAGTAAATATTAAAAAGAATCTTAAAAAGATCCTTAAGTCTAACCTACCTAAGCCATTTAATAAAACCCTTAATAAGTTACTTATATTCCTTAAATAAGGCTAAGTATTTATTATATATTACTTAACTTAATTCTATTATAACTTTATAAAAGTTATATATATAATAAGAAGATTAATTAAAATTATAACTTAATAGTTTTAACTTATTATAAATAATTATACCTAAAACCTATTTTATAAAATAAGATTATATACTATTACTATTTTTAGAAAAAAAGAATACCTTAAATTTAAAGAAGTACTTTATATAGCTTTTAAAATAATTAATAAAAAAAGATAAGCTAAAAGGAAAATTAAAACCTTTAAGTAAACTAGATTAGCCTTATTCTTAAGGGTAGAGTTCTTATAATTTATAAGTAAACTACCTTAAGATTAAGATATATTAATATCTTTCTTCTTTAATATATTTAAAGAATTAATTTAAGTAAAATTATAGTAAAAAGACTAATTATAAACCTTAATTAAATATATTAATATAGCTATTAGAATTAATAATTAATTCTTTACTTAAAAAACCTAACACTCTTAATATAATAAATAATAAAATAATAAACCTTATTATAATACTAATTAAAAATAAATATATAATAATAATATATCTTATAATATTAAAGTAAGACTAATAGAAATTAAAATAATTAAAAAAGATAAATTTAAACTTACTTATTAGAATTATAATAAAAAAAGATATAAAGAATTAAAATCTAAAAATCCTATTAAAATTAATTAAAAATATAAACTAATACCTAAAGAAAATAAATATATTAATATTATAAAGAAAAATAATAAACCTTAAAAGGTAATTAAAATAGTTAATATAACTAAAAAGGATAAATATAATATATTTAATATTAATTTTACTATAGTTCTAAGACTATTAAAAGTATATAATCTAATCCTTAGTAAGGATAAGATTTTTAAAAAATACTATCTTAATTTAATACTAATAGAATAATCTATTTTAAGATATAAATTACTAGCTTTAATAAGAAAAAGGGAAATTAAAAAAGAAACCCTTAAATAAAAAAGACTTAAATATATTAAAAATATAAAAGACTTTAAATACTAAAGAAAATAAAATAAATAATAAAAGGGTTTTAATAGTAAATAAAGTATTTAATAATAAAAAAACTTATAATTAAAATTAAATAATAAGAACTTATATTTATATAAAAAAAAATTTAATAAATATAAAAAGATTATTATAAAAATTAAAAAAGAAAAAGAAATTAATCCTAACCTAGATAATAAACTAAGTATTAAAAAATCTAATTAAGGTATTAATAAACTATTAATACAAACTATTAAAAAATAAAAATACCTTTTAAAATCTAAAATAAAATAATTATATATAACCCTTATTTAATAGTAAATAATATTCCTATTTAAGCTATCTTAAGGTAACTTAATAAATATTATAAAGACCTAGGCTATATTAAAGTAATTAAGGTATAAAAAGAACTTAATATTAAGAAAATTAAATATAAAATAAATAAATAATTTAAAATACTAAAATTATATCTTAATATAATAAACTTAAAAAACTATTTTTAAAATAATAAATATTAAAAGTATATTATTAAAAAAAAAGTAATTATAAAATAAAATATTTTTTTCCCTTACTTTTAGCTTTATATAAGGCTATTAAGCTTTTTAGCTTTTTTATTAATAGTTTAAATAATAAGACCCCTATAATAGGCTATTATTATAAAAATTAGAATTAAATAAGGTTTATCTGCCTTAATAATATAATTATTACCTTAATTAAATAATACTAATACTACTTATATCTTAATAGCTAAATTAACCTTCTTTCTTTAACCTATCTAAAGAAATATTATATTTAATTTATTTATTATACTTTTAAAATATATTATTTAATTTAACTTTTAATCCTTTTTATTAATAATATAATAGCTATATTGCCTTAATACCTATATAAAATAGCCTATAGCTATATAATTATATTTATTATATAACTAGCTATAATCTTAATTTAGCTATTAAGCCTACCTTAAAGGTAGTTAATAAAGAAGAACTTTATATAATATATATAATAGTTATTATTATTATAAAGATCTTCTTATTAAGAGGCTAATTTAACCTTATTAAGGTAATTATTTTTAATTATAGCCTAATTTAATTAATTAATTATATAAAAAAGAGATATTATATTAATTTAATTAATTTAAACTAGATTAATAATAAGCT